TTGCTTTCCTGTCGCTGCAGGATGCTGTTATCAGGCAGGCAGTGCACTCTGGTGGACTCCTTGATATGCAACCCAGAACTCTTAAAAACAAGTTTCCTGGGTCATGACAATAGAAACTGATTATATTGGTTTTTGCTTCTTTCTGGGTTGCTTTTTTTTTTGTTTGTTTGTTTGTTTGGGTTTTTTCTGGGTTTGTTTTGTTTGTTTGGTTGGTTGGTTTTGTTTTTTTTTGTTTGTTTTTGTTTTATTCTTATCATCTGAGTGGAGTATTTTAGATTTCAAAGAATCGTAGAATGCTTTGGGTTGGAAGGGACCTTTAAATATCATACAGTTCAACACCACAAGCTGTGAGCAAGAACATATTCAACTAGACAAGGCTGCTCAGAGCCCAGTCCAGCCTGGCCTTGAATGTGTCTAGGGATGGGGCATCTACCACCTTTCTGGGCAACCTGTTCCAGTGCCCCACCACCCTCACAATGAAGAATTCTCCTAATATCTAATCTAAACCTGTCCTCTTTTAGTTTCAAACCATTCCCATCATCCCATCACAGCAGGCCCTACTAAAAAGATTGTCCCCTTTGTTATGTTCTTGTTACCTCTCTCCATAAATGAGTAGAGTATTTTTACAAAGAGCTCTCCAGACAGTACTTAGAATCACAGAATAGTTAGGGTAGGAAAGGACCTTAAGATCATCTAGTTCCAACCACCGTGCCATGGGCAGGGGCACCTCACACTAAACCATACCACCCAAGGCTCTGTCCAACCTGGCCTTGAACACCGCTAGGGATGGAGCATTCACAGCTTCCATTGACAACCCATTCCAGTGCCTCACCACCCTTACAGTAAAGAATTTCTTCCTTATATCCAATCTAAACTTCCCCTGTTTAAGTTTTAACCCGTTACCCCTTGTCCTCTCAATACAGTCCCTAATGAAGAGTCCCTCCCCAGCATTCCCATAGGCCCCCTTCAGATACTGGAAGGCTGCTATGAGGTCTCCATGTAACCTTCTCTTCTCCAGGCTGAAAAGCCACAACTTTCTCAGACTATCTGCATACAGGAGATGCTTCAGTCCCCTGATCATCCTTGTGGCCCTCCTCTGGACTTGTTCCAACAGTTCCATGTCCTCTTTATGTTGAGGTCACCAGAACTGCACACAATAGTCCAAGTGAGGTCTCCTGAGAGCAGAGGTGCAGGATCACCTCCTTCGACCTGCTGGTCACGCTCCTTTTGATGCAGCCCAGGATATGGTTGGCTTTGAGCGCACACAGAAGATGGCTTATGTTGGGTTTCTCATCAACCAACACCCCCAAGTCCTTCTCTGAAGGGTACTCTGAATCTCTTCTTTGCCCAACCTCTAGCTGTGCCTGGGATTGCTCCGACCCAGATGTAGGACCTTGCACTTGGCATGGTTAAACTTCATAAGGTTAGCATTAGCACACCTTACAAGTGTGTCAGGGTTCCTCTGGATGGCATTCCTTCCCTCCAGCGTATCAATCGAACCACACAGCTTGGTGTTATCGACAAACTTGCTGAGAATGCACTCAATCCCACTGTCCATGTCACCAACAAAGATGTTGAAAAAGATTGGTCCAAACAACACCGATCCCTGAGGGACACCACTCGTTACTGGTCTCCAGCCAGACGTTGAGCCATTGACCACAACTCTTTGTGTGCGGCCATCCAGCCAGTTCTTTATCCACCGAGTGGTCCATCCATCAAATTGATGTCTCTCCAATTTAGGGACAAGGACGTTGTGTGGGACAGTGTTGAATGCTTTGCACAAGTCCAGGTAGATGACATCAACCGCTCTGCCACTGTCCATTAGTTCTGTAGCCCCATCATAGAAGGCCACCAGACTGGTCAGGCAGGATTACCCCTTAGTGAAGCCATGGTGGCTGTCACCAAGCACCTTGTTGTCATTCATGTGCCTTAGCATGCCTTCCAGGAGAATCTGCCCCAAGATTTTGCCAGGCACAGGAGTGAGACTGACTGGTCTGTAATTCCCTGGGTCTTCCCATGCATACATGCAATGTACTTATATAGAATCCCTTTCTTTTATCTTTCATATCCCTAGCCAACTTGAATTCTAACTGGGCTTTAGCTTTCCTAACTTGGTCCCTAGCTTACCTTACTTACTAGCTTCTGCTTGCTTCAAGTTAAGTGGAATGTGCTTAGTCTACCTGTGTTTATTACCTGTTACCACATAAATATCTTGACTGATCTTTATCTAGACATTGTAGGAGGCATTTTCAGCTTTTTGTCCTGAGATTGTTTCCCCCAGAAATTGACTTAAGTATACTTTCTGACTGTTGAAGTGATACTTAAGGGCTCTCCTTCCTCCTTGCTGTAGTTTCCCTCCAAAGAAAATGCAGGCACTCAGGCAGAGTGCCTGTTGGCACAGCTGTTCACGTGATGCCTCACCAGTCTGGCATGTGCAGGAGACCAGATACTGAGCACCATCAATGCACTTACCAGTAGTAAGTCCTTTCATTTTAGGGACTCGTTGTACCCTTATGTCTTGTGCAATATCTTTTCCTTCTGCAAAATGGGGGAGATAAGCATATGATGCTTTGTATGTAGTGGTGTTTAAAGACTTTAAAGTGTGTGACCTTCATGATTATTGTGATAGTCTTATCAAGTACTATATTTGGTATTATGTTCCAGTATGCAATAGTTTCATGTAGAAGGTTATGGTTGTTGTTAAGCAATCTGAAACTATGAACTTTATTGCTTTGAAATACAATTAATATTTGTTAACTGAAATTTATTAACAGATTTCTTATCTATGTTTTATAATAATTCAAAATGCAAGTCTTCTGAGATTTGCCTTAGAATACAATGAAATTCACAAAATGAGTGAAAACTAGACTAGTACAGAAAAATAAATACACAAATGGAGAAGAGCTTTGAGATTTGGAAAGCATACTTCTGACTAAACCAGGAAAAATTATTCCTTCCAATTTTTCCTCAAAGGTATATATTTTAAGTCAATTTTAATATGACTTTAATACATTTTGCATTCAAATAATGCCCTTTAATCGTATGCTTTTTAAATATCTCAAAATGAAGTAAAAATAAATAAATAAAAGAAAAGATAAATTGACCTTCTAATTTCCTCATGTGTTTCTTCCACTGGAAAGATACACAACAGCCTTTTCAACTCACCAGAGATTTGGTGAGTTGAAATGCCTAGATCTCACTGGGTTTCAAAAAATTAACTTTTCATATAACAAATAAATACATATTTAAAAGCTTTTAAAGAAGATATCTTTACATGTGTCAATGCAACAAAACAGAGTATCCTTCAGAAATGTATTGCTAGCATGCATCACTAGCTAAATGCTAACATCTTAAAAATTTCGGGTGTGCCTGGGGGCAACAGTACAAGGAACATAACTGCTGAACTATGGAAAATGTTTAGAGGATAATGGATTCATTCGGTGAACAGCTATGTGTGAATAGATATTGTGATTACATTTATCTTGATGGACAATTAGGCTGTGATAAGTTTTATTAATGAGCATCCTGGAATGTTTGTGAGGTGTAGCATTTAGCCTATGGCTAACATTAGGTTGTCTGAAATATGTGCCTGTCTGTCTTTACAGAAATTTACTATTTTTCAAAAGAAAGATACCCATATGACTACCCCATTTAAGATACAATTCAATTGTACAAAGAGAGGGATAAAATACCATTTTAGACTTTTACAACAGAATAAACTTGTCTAACTTCAAGAAAATTTGGCATCGCAGATGTTTTTAGTATTCCCTTTCATTTTCTTCTTACATTCATGAATTATAAAAAATAAGAAATTTTTCATATAAGTTCAATGTAAGTTCAAAAATAAATATAAGTTCAAAGAGGAACTGTTTTCATTTTATAGCTGATTTGGTAAATATAAATTGCTATGGCAATTACTCATCCTAAATTAGTTATCACAGTGTTTATTATTATATATTTTGATAATGTGCATTTGCATATTAAGCTGGAAACTTCCACATGATGGAAGCAAGCGTGTTTTACAAGCCTGTAAGCCAAATTGGTAAACTGAAATGACAGACAGGGATTTCTTCATCCATAATGCCTTCCCCATAATTTTTACCCATATAGAATTATGGGTCATTCCATGTGTACATTAGAAATGTGATTAGGGATCAATGATTGTCAAAAATTGTAACATATTTATTCCGATAAGTCTTGCAGTTTGCCTTACAGCTGGTTGTGCTATATGCAGTTCATTGCTTTTCAACATTATTTTCAGTATTAAACTTTTGGTATCACTTAATAAAATAAAATATAAAATAAAATACAATAAAAATTTTCAAAAACAACTTAGCAGGAAAAAACACTGAAGAGTAAGGAAAAGACCAGTAAATTGAAAGGAATAGTAAATTTGACAGAGTTTTGGTATCTACAGACTTCTTTTTTTGCACTGTTGGATGCAGTTCCATAGGTTTGTTTAATTTCAAGATTAGAGTTTTTAAGCATTCGGACAATTTTCAGAGAATATGAAATAAACCGTGATATGTCAGTTCATCTTTTTTGTTTTATTGGTTGTTTTGTTTGTTTGCTTTCTTATTCTGTTGTTCATGTTTGCAGTAGAACTGAATGAAAAATACCATTTTCTGGTGTGCTGATTTGTTGGTTATTATGGAATAGGTTATGTTTTCTTTTTTTTGCTGTTGGCCATAACCCTGCTGTTTAAGCTGAATAGACATTTCAAGATCTCAGAATTTAAGTGCATTCTAAGTTCTTGTGCTGACTTCCATGCAACACTGAAATAGATGTTTCTGAGTTTAAATTCTATCCTGATATGCAATAGTGAAATATTTACTCTGTAAATTAATTTAACAATACTTTATAATACAAATTACCAGGCTAACGGAAAGCCCAGTATTTTATAAAAGCCTCATGTATTCAATATGTTTTGGATATTCTATGTATGATGATGATATGCTTACAATATATTGCAGATTAAATATTCACTCCCTTGATTTCAGGAGCTGATGCTGTGGAGGCCCAGAGTAAGAGATTTGAAGTGAGGGCAACTGAAAGTGGAAAAGTGTTGTTTTCTGCAGATGAAGATGAGATTGTTATTGGTGCTGACAGACTGAAAGTAACAGGTATGATAATAATAAAGATTCTAAGTGGATGTAAGCTTTTTTTTCTTTTTTTTTTTTTTTTCTTCTCTAATATCCTCAGTAATAATTAATCTATCAGTCTTCTAAAAGACTTGTCCACTGGAGAGGAAGTCTTCTCCTCATCAGTGACCAAAAGATACTGCATACTCCAAAAATCAGCTCCTCTAAAGGCAGACTTAAATTTAAGCTCTGAAGGGCCAGCAATGGTACAAAACACCCTTAGCACACTGATTTGGCTTTTATATGTTACCTTTAAGCATTGTTTTGTGGTACCTGTAACATTTGTTTAGGTCACGCCCCTTTACAGTGGTAAAGAGGGTCGTATACTATGAACATTTTTTTCTGTAAACTTATCAAGTCTGTCTTCCATGTGAATTAAGGTTATGTACTCTGCTTTACTTTAGAAGCTCAGCTGAACAGTAAGTAGAACACTTGAGCATTTTTTCAATAAAACAGAAAAAATTACTGGCTTTTTATTGTAAACATTAAATGTATATCAGTAACTCATTTGATATTAGAAGTGTGTTACCTTATAAAAAAAGAATTGGTTATCTAATTCTGTTTTAGATAAATGCTTAAACTTTGACTGCTTAATAAAGGCCTACCTGAACTTAGGTTGGATTTGAGCTATCTATTCATAATCTAGAATAAGATAGAAAACTTGAATTGCTTCATCAGTAAGGGTTGTTTAGCTTAGGTCACTCTATATCTGGGGATGTCTCTGTGCTGAGTTTGAAATCAGCCTGTTACTTTGAAAGTTCAATTATATGGAAAATTTAAGATGGTTCTTTTTTGTAATGGTTATGATATTACCCCTTTCTGGTCTGTAAAAATAAGAAATAATTATTAGCAACTTTAAGCCTCTTAAAAAAAAAAAATAGGTACTCCTACATTTATGTAGAACCAGATATAGCATGTAATGCCAGATACAGCATTAAAATATATCCAGGAAGTCCAGAGTCAAGCTATGACTGAAATTTCTTTATAAACCTCAAGACTGATGCTTGCCAGTATATATGGTGTAATTTTTCTTCCGATTTCATTCCTATCTGGCCTTTGTCTGTCTCCTCTAGCTGAGCAATCTGTTTTAATACTTCTAAACCAAAAGAAAAAGCAGTTGAGTGATGTTGCAGTATCCAGTATAATAACACTGAATTGTGCTGGGTTACCAAACATGGGGTTAGGAGAGGGAAACATCAGCGTTTGTTGAGTCAGCAGGAAAGCCTCAGAGACAGTAGTTGTACAAGAATTTTACCATAGTTAAACTGAAGAACACAAGAAAGAGAAAAAAAAAAAACACAAGAAAGAGAAAAAAAAAATCAAAGGAGTTCAGGTTAAACATAAGAAAGATGTTCTTTCTATGAGGGTGGTGAGGCACTGGAACAGGTTGCCCAGAGAAGTGGTAAATACCCCATCCCTGGCAGTGTTCAGGGCCAGGTTGGACAGAGCCTTGGATGACATAATCTAGTATGAGCCGTCCCTACCTGTGGCAGAGGGGTTGGAACTAGATGATCTTAAAGTCTTTTCCATCCCTAACCGCTCTATGATTTGATGGTTACATATGGAATCCTGCTAAGGTTGGTCAGAATATTAAATACTAAACAAAGGTAATCTTAAACATACAATTGACATAGGAGATTTCAAAGTGTTTATCATAAGTTAAAAATTAAAACATCTTATAAATGGCATTGAGGATTACACCTGCTGTTAAGAAATGTAATCATAAGTTGTAGGTGTCATGGTAATTTTTTTATTGGGCTTTAGAAGTGAAGCATTGTTTAACTGTCTTTAACTTCAGAGTTATGTGAGTTCCCACAGCACCTGTTGATGTCAGTGGTACAGAAAGCAGCACAACTAGTGAAAATTTATTCAGTGATGCTTAGCATGGGATGTAAGATTATTCCTCATGAAAGGAAGAGGATTTTCTCCTGAGTTCTAGAAATAAACCTGTCTGTATGTGCATTTATATTAAGCTTTCCCATGCAAATCAAATGAAAAACAGAAATCAAACAAACAAACAAACAAAAAGGATTAAAAACAAAAGGAAAAAAGTAAAAGCCAGGAAAGCCTAGTGCTGCTTTGATACATTCATATGAGTTGAAGGAGTTACTGTATACCTGTTGAGTCCTACCAGAGAATTTCATTACTAGAATTGTTTGGACAAGTAATTGATTTTCCTTCTATGACTAAAATGAAAAATAAGAGTGAGGCTTGAATTTTCAAAGAAATTCATTGCACTAGAAAAATTCTTTTATAGAGTTAAAATAATAAAAACATTGACTTGAATTACTTGCACAAACACAAAATAATGATATAAGCAGCATTTAAATATTGCAAAGAAACTGCTTATTGTAGGATTTGTCAGGCTCTAAGTGTTGTCATTTAGGTCATGAAGTTAAATACAAAGTATGTTCCATTAAACAGCTTAATGTCCAATATTTCAGGCACTTTCTTTAGAAAAACATGTCAGGGGTTTTTAAACTGTAATTTGAAAGAGTAATTTACTTTTAAAAAATCACTTGAAAATTATTGTTGTCTTTTATGCTTATTCAAAAGTAACAAAGTTGGGATCATTCTGATCTCTGGATAATCATCTTGTCTTGAAATCAGATTTCATTACTAACTTCTTATAATGAGGCTAGAAAATGCTAGTTTTAATTTTATGCTTTAAATCCCTAAGGCCCGTTTTAGGTTAACCATTCCATCATCTTGTTATAGAATTAAAATTTTACCCTACAGAATGAAGGGAAGATCTTATATTCCTAAATGAGTATTTTTGAAGGGTTTAGAGAAAATAACTTCATATCCCAGTTTCTATAACCCTAAAAGGCTTTTTACAGTGTAAGTAGTAATCTGCAGCCAAATAATAAAGCTGTTATGAGATGTCTATGCTTTACTTTTGGCTTCAGTCTAAAGCTGAAATTATTTAATACAGATTTCCTAATGAAGACTAAAAGTTGTATGATCCATGCAATCTCAAGAAAGTTGTGGGTTTTTTTTTTGTTTTTTTTTTACATCTCATAGGGGTTAAATAAAAGAAAACCATATAATTCTATCTTCATTGAAAAATAAAATAACAAAAATCTTTTTCATATAGTAGCTCCGAATACTGTCCCAAGATTGTTTGATGCCTTTAAATTCTTCAGCAAAAACATCTCCCTGTGAGTTGCATCAATCAGATTGTATTACTCAATATGACATGATATGAGTGATGAAACCTGGCAAGTCATTATAATGTCAAACATCAACCAGTTTTATTTTTTTTAGTGTATTTTTCTCAAGCCTGTGTTTTGATAATCATGGTGATTTAGGCTCATGTAGGAAAGGAGTTACGGAAGAAAAGAGAAAACAAAAAATTAATATTATTTGGAGGTGAAATTCCCACATGCAATTACTGAAGTGTGGTACTACAATGAAAACCTGATTTTGGTGTCTTGCTTAGCTGTGACTACCGTCACTTTGGGAACACTTTTCTGTGAATGGGTCCAATAAATGATTCATTTTGGTAATTAATTTTCTAAAGCATGCCCATTGTATGAGCATTTATAAACCATTGTGGCAGTGTGGGATTTATGGGTTCTATGATTTTTTTCCTGAATTCAGACTGCTTTTGTATTGCACAGCTTTAACAAGCAACCTATCATAAGGCAGTGTAAGAAATACCTGATTAATAAAAACTTGAAAGATTAGGTAGGTTTACAGCTTCTCATTGACTATTTTTGTATCATGGAATTGCAATTATAATAGGGCTTGCACATGTTTGCTTGTAGTAGAAACAAAAAGAAGACACATGAAAACTTTGCAGACCTTAATGACTTCCTATGAGCCTTCTTCCTTGTGAAATAGAAAAGTTGTGCAGAAAGATGGAAGTCAGAGAAGCACAGAAGATAGCATACTTCAGTTTTAATGGAAACTTTCTCTGATTAATTGCAGGACATGTGTAGGTCAAATCTACTTTGACACCGGAACAGTGTCAGGGAAAAATCAGTAAAGGGCTGCAAGTATCTTTTTCATTACACTAAAATATATGCTTATAGAGGGTTCAGCATGGCTTTGATCAAAGCCATTAACTACACTAGATGAAAGATGAGAGCCTTGATGTATCAAAGAAACTTAAGAAGGTACCTGCATGCTTATATTCTAATAATATTCTAATATCCAGAATTAATATGCAGAAGAGTGCATCGGTATCACAGTTTTAATTTTAAGATTATGCTGTAGGACTGTGAGTCTGCAGGTAATTGAAATATAGAAAGGTCTTCCAGAGTAGTTAAAAGGAAATTATAAAGTAGAAATATAGCTTATGGTTATAAAAAGGAAATATGACAGAAATATGAGGAAATATATGTGAATTGCAAATGAGGTAGGAAAAGTAGAAATAAAATATTTATAACAAGTACTGAAATGTAGAAAAATAAATGATTATTTGATGTATGTTATTACAGCAGGCATATATGTAGTGCCTTTAGAGACTGAATAGGAATTTCAATATGAATGGGAAAGAAAGTCTTGAATTTGCCACATTCAGTTGGTGGATTGTCATTTAGGACAGGTGGAGTTTGGAGAATGAAGTGGCACAAGATGAAAGTAAGCAATCACTTTAAGCTGGTTTATGCAGCCAAATTATGTGACCACAGTAAAACTGTTGTATTTGATGTTCTAGTAAAAAGTTAAACCTTTAAGTAGATATGCCAGACTCTCAGTACCCTGAACACTGACTGAGTATTATTTTATCATCATCTGTCAGTAACAAAAATATATTACGTATATAGAATTTCTCTGTTTCCTCAGAAACTACTACATTAATATTTACCCAAAAATGTTCTGGATTAATAAGGTTTCTGATAAATTTATTTAGATTTCAGGGAAGCACTTAAATGTCCAGACTGATCTGTATGAGAGCTTTGGGTGAAAGATAATGTTATTTCAGGAGTCTAACCACTTGGCAACAGAGCAACCTGTCAGCATTATGCTGGAGGTAC